GGAAACAATGCAAACTAACTGGAAAAAGAGAGAGAGAGAGAGAGAGAGAGATGTCTGTCTGTGAGGCCTTTTCATCTAAGCTCCAACAATATCGGAGATAATGATTGAGTTCACACTATGGTTTAACTGTAGCCCATTGAATAAATCAGTGTTGGGTGAGTTCAAAAACCCAGGGCTTTTGAACCCTAATAGTTGCATTGATGTAATATCCCAGGCCAGTCAGTCAAAGGAAACTAGGATGTGGGTTGGTGAATGAACCCTCTCAACCCCTGGCTGAATAGAAGAGAAAAAGGGAAGGAAATAAGAGATTTTAGGCAAAGTACTTGAGGAACACAGGGTTATTCAATCAGAAGGGGGCTTCCCTTGGGATGGAAATGGATTTTGCCTGGCATGAGTGCCATTGGGAATTGCCACATTCACGCTGCCTCCTCTTCCGCTTCTGTAAAGGTGTCGAAGGTATCATCCAAGCCTACTCGAGTTGCCTGCCTCACATTCGCTTTTACGGACCAACCAACTTCTCCCCCATCATTAATCACGTGGCTCGGTTTGCAGCCCAAGCAACCCAACAGGAGTCCGCCAGCGTAAGTTCCCTTTTTCTGTCCTCCTCTTTGTTTCTCTCCCCCCCCCCCTTATTGAGTGAGCAAAAGCTCATTCAAGTTGGCACCATGGAGCACGCAGGAGGGCAGCAGCGGCTGGAAGACCAGGTGGCTAAACACCTCTCAGACAATGCTGTTCTGTGGTGCAGGGATGGTCTTTTGAGCTATCCAGCACCTGGCTGACTGGATTCTGCTGTGAATGCTTAGGGAAACTCTTTTTAGAGCAACCAGCGTTTCAAGCAAGTGAGCTGTTGAAGCAAGTCTGAAACTTATATTCTCAAGCTTTAACTTTTGCACGTCTGGTCTCTAGCTTTCTGTATCCTGCCCAAAGCATGCTTTGCATTTCACGTGCTGCCACTGTGAAATGAGTGGTGACATATTGGTTGTGTTGACAAATACCTTCCTGATGTTATAAATGATAATGCAAATCAAACGTTTTCTTCTGCATGCAATCCATTCGCCTTCATGAAAGAAGGTAAGTAAGCCAGAAAGCCTTGTCATCCAAACCTGAGTTAATGCTGCCATGCATCTAATGAGTCTAGATTTACAAACCAATAGCAACTACCTCTGGTTTAAAGGTGGTTTATAGCTCTGATTTGTCTGTGCACATACTCGTAAGCTTCAGTTCCAATGTCCTGTGAAGCTAACTTAGTTTGGTCTTGAACAAATGTGACATAGAAGCCCACTGGCAAAATTCTGCTTGGATGTTGCATAACCATCTCCAAGTCCTCCTTGTACAGATCCTCATTCAGATTCACACCACCTGTAGAAAGAAGCCTCCTGTACAATCAGCTGAGCCCTGTAATTATTTGCACTATGGGGAGACATGTTCTTATCTTCCTGATGGATCTAATCAGAATGTGATTTAATTCACATTTCATTTGGGCTACTCCACTCGTTTGAAATCCCTCCATCCATCTGCTCCCTGTGTCAGAATTCATACATCCTTTGAAAGGGGCAGGGGAGTATCCTGCAGGTCTCACCGAGAACAGAAGAGTGCTAATCAGATTAAAACTGCATGGCGCTTCAGTTTGATGATGATAATTAAATGTCTAAAATGCTATATGCAGCAAGAGATATCTCCTTGCCAATCCTGAACCTGGTCTTGTCTTTAGAGAAGGGGTTTTTGATTATGTTTGATAATCCTTACTCCCCTGGTGACTTGTGATATCACAAAGGGTGGGCAACCTGCAGCCTTACTTTGGCTTAATTTCCAAAGCCCTCTGCGAGCAAGTCATTTCAGGTCTGTAGCAAAAGCGCCCTATCCTAGCCTGCTGAGTGAAAACAAAGAAAAAGAAAAGGGGGTCAAAAGTCAGGGGAAAAAAAGTGGGTATAAAATAAAGATGCAGCCTCACGCACTTTGGGCTCTGTTCCCATTCCTGCTTGCTTATACTTCATTGGCCATTGTTGGAGCAGAAAGGTAGACTGAATGTCTCTTTGATCTGATCTAACAGGGTTTATGTTCTTGTTTTAAGAACATACACTTCTATCATTTAGATTTTAGAGGTGAAAGGAAGACTGAAAACTTTTATGTCTGGAAAACTGTAGACATAAATAAGAGTCTCTATTGAGTTGAGTCTGACCTGTAGTGATCTCATGGGCATGTCATGCTGTTTCCTGAGCTTAGGTTTTTAAAATTTTATATAATAGTACATAAACACAATGCTTTATTTAGTAGTCTCTGTCTGCGAATGAACTGCCATGGGTCCAACTTAAAAGAAGGAATGAGGCAACAATGGTTTGGAGAAGACTAAGCTATATTAACTGACAGCAGGTTCTCCAGGATCTGAGAGAGGCATCTTCCCCAGCTCTTCCAGGATGATGGTGGAGACAGTAGCTTGGACTTTGGGGATGCAAAAGTGAGAGCCTTATTAGTATTGGAGTTTCTCCCCTCCACACGCTTTCCAAGCAGTAGCAGCCCTCCAGATCTCAAGCCAATTGAGCTAAAATCCAACTCTTCCTTCTCCCTGTTCCTTCCATATGCAGCTCTTCTGGTGATTAAAAGATATACAGGCAAAATGAAATATCAATAGCTTAACCTCCTGGCCATTTAGCCTAGAGGTGTGTGATTAGATAATTCAGCAATTCATTCCTTGGGAGATAGACCAATCTCAGCAGACAGAAACAAAATCAAACTTTGTTTAGAAACATATATAGAGGTGGGGACATATATTCACTTTAAGCATTAAAATGCAGATATTTAGAGAAGATAATAAATTCCAGGACTGTAAAGATGCTGATAAAACAGGTATTTAAAAGTGTGTAAAAAGAAAATGTGGTGTTCCAGATGGACCACAAGATGGTGCTGCTTAGCTCCAAAACAAGAAGGCATAGAGAATTCTCTAATTAACATAACTGATTATAATACAGTGCTAGGAAGGAAAGGATGTTTTCTGGAACACAGTCTGGAGAATGAATAAAACCATTCCCTTAGAATTAGAAAGCTAACACCCAAAACAAATATCAAAATCCTAACATAAATTATCCTAAATTACCATAAATTATTCAAAATCCTATGGCTGTTCTTCTGCCCAGACCTTGGTGGCTTGAGTTAGCAACACCGCTTCAGTGGCCCTTCAGTCAGTCTTGTATTGGAAGATGAGCCCCATAGATCAAGGCTTTCAATGATGCCCAAGAAAACCTCCTGGGACAGCTCTTCCAAGAATGGAAGGAGAAGAAAATTAGTAGCCCCTAGTCCTAATAGCTTCATAATCAAGAGGCAAAAGACCTTCTAATAATATTTTCCTAGAGACAAGTATCCATGCATCCACGTCCTAAGTTGGGCTTCCCAGTGAAATCAGTGATGTGCTAGATGGGCTGTTCTCCTGAGCCATGTTGCTTCCACTATGAACAGATCTCTCCTACCTTCTGATGGTCTATCTGAAATATGCACAAACCCACTTTGGTGGTCTAATACAAATGCACCTGCCACCTCCTGCTGGGCGATCTGATTTTCTTCTCTCCTCTCCCTTTCCAGCAATACTTCATCCTCCTGATCATCACTGATGGCGTCATCAGCGACATGGATGAGACACGGCATGCTGTTGTACAGGCCTCCAAGCTGCCCATGTCTATTATCATCGTTGGGGTTGGGAATGCAGACTTTGCAGCCATGGAGTTTCTCGATGGAGACAACCGCACGCTTCGGTCGTACACAGGCGAGGAGGCTGTGCGGGATATTGTCCAATTTGTGCCATTCCGCGAATTCCGCAGTGTAAGTGCAGGAGAATGCCTCATTTGCATTAGTGTGGGCTGGAAGGAAGGAAGGAAGGAAGTGTGGGCTGGAAGAAAAACTTGGTCAATAGTTAAGGAGCTGAACTTGTAAAAATATCATCTTTAAGATGGAACTATAGCAGTGCCCTCCTTGGTTTTTACTCTATACATTATTTGTTTTAGAAATCCTCCAACACATAATTTCTCAGTTTTCCTTCAGGAAAATAACAGTATTTCTGGGATACTCCAGAGAAGCCTCAAATGTGAACTGGCAGGTGATAAACAGCAAAGATGCAGCAATCTTGGCTGAAACAGCAAGATTCCCTTTTCTCCTAATGCCAGTTATAGAGTTACATAAAGTACCACCCAAACTTCCCCCAAACTGGTACTTTCCAGATATACTGGGGGTTACAACTCCTAGAATTCCCATTCACCATCTGAAGAACACCAATTTGGAGAAGACCGTCCTATGCTGATGGGTTCTGGAACTGGGCAGGGATCTTTTCTTCCTCTATTGAACAGAGTTCTTTTGGTCAAACAATCAAAAAGGAAACTTGTATGCAAAGGTGCTGATATGCCATAGAATAAGATCCCTGTCACAATAACATTTAAAGGTGATTCCCATGTAAAAACCTAAGAAATGGCTTGGTGCTTCCCCTGCCATCTCCTCCTGTGGCGAACCAGGTCAGAATAAAGGAGGCAGCTATTTATCCCCATTGTCTTCCCAGCATTTCAGACAGACATCTTTCTTCTTATCCACAGAGGGCAAGAACTTTGTCATGCACAACACTCACTTCTTAAATCAAAGAGCCATTGCTCACGGTGGTTAATGCCTCCAAGAGTCCTCCATTCAAGATACAAAACGTGTAGGCATACAATTAAATGTCATTCTGATACTCCAGCAGACATCATGCCACTGAAAACCAGAAAGATTTGGCTGAAAAGCATGGTTGGTGCAAGAGTTTCACGTTGTCTTACCTGCTGGTTTATTCCCAAGGTACCATTTCCCAAGCATGGGAACCAGCCCTTTGTCACTCTGGCCTTCTTGTTTCAGGCACCCAAAGAAACTTTGGCAAAAGCCGTGTTGGCAGAACTTCCACAGCAAGTGGTTCAGTACTTCAAGCACCAGAATTTGCCGCCCCTCAACTCGGAACCCGCTTAGGACTAACCTGCTGCTCCTTGCCTGCATGTATCCCAAATCCGTTGATGACAGAAGATTGCATGTCTCCCGTGGTTTCAAATAACTTTTTATTTAACTGATTTAATAAAAGGAACAAAGCATACCCTGATCCCCCAAAATGCAACCTGCAACATAGGGATCTGCACTCAGAGCTCCTGGAACAAAACAACCCACTGCGGCCAATACAGGACGTTCTCCCCACCTTGATTCCACAAATCAACTTTTAAGTATTTTAATGTTCTTTGTATGATTTTTGTGGAATGAGGGAACATTTTTACAACCAGAACTTACGGTCTCCAGAGTGAAGTTCTCAAAATCTCATTGCCCAAAGACATGTGGACCATCCTTCGATGTGTTGTACTTGTACTTCTCCCACTCTATGTTCATTTTTATACCATGTACACATATTTGTTATACTCAGGTTAATAAACAACCCTGAACTCTTCACATCTCCATGGAAATGTGCTGTGATTTGACCCAATTAAATCCCGTGGCCTCCTGCAGCCCCTCTCGGCCTGATCTCTCCAGGTGAGTTGCACCTCAGGTCCCAATCAGTTGTATCACACACCTGTGAAGAGCGCCAGGCGCAGGCTAACATCCTCCCCTAAATGTCAGATTACAACTCTCAACCTTAGTTTAATTTGCAAGGCAGGTGGGGGGGGATGATGGGATCCACGTGAGGGAAATGCTGGGCTAGAACATAGAAATTGGGTTCATGCATCCTGCCAAGGACCAAATGAACCCATTATAGCTTAGTGATGTGAATCCAACCCAGGTCCTGTCACTTGGATACCGAGAAACAAAAAATATTGCAACATCTCAAGATAGACTTTCTACTCAGCCTTGAATTCTTATAGAACAGGGCTCCTCAACCTTGGCAACTTTAAGACGGGTGGACTTCAGCTCCCAGAAGGCTGGCTGGGGAATTCTGGGAGTTGAAGTCCACCCGTCTTAAAGTTGCCAAGGTTGAGGAGCCCTGTTGTAGAATTTGTGATGCTTCATCTCAAACACGCAGAGAGAGAATATAGTGCTGAAATGAGCATTTCCTTCTTCCCATCCAAGAATTATTTCATGACAAATTATTTGTTCTGCTTTTCATCCACATTCCAAAAGTAGCTTGTAAGTAGAGAGTAAACACATACTGTACATTTTTAGTCCGAAGAAAATAAGTGGCTTTGAAGCATTTCCAACATCAGCTTAAAAATGTTATTCGGTTTCCCTAATGGCAGCACCTTGGCTGATGGACGTCAGTGACCAACCACTTCCATAGACTAACCAAGAAAGCTACCTGGATATATCTAGGAAGTCACCAGGAGTTAAACTGATCTTGAAAGTAAAGGTAAAATCCTATCCCTGATACCCACTGGCAATTTTTTCCCCAAACAGCTTTAAAAATGGTTTTAGATTAAATGATAATATAATCTAGAGGCAGATGAGCTTTTCCTGCCTGAGTTTCGTTTCAGCAGATGAAGGGTTACCTGCCTTAAATCAGGGCCATCTTCTTTTCTCCTAAATGTGATTTTAGGAGTCAGACCTGCAAACAAACAACACATTAAGCTTAGCTAATGTTAACCTTCCTTATTTTTCTCGTGGCCTGATAGACAAACCCATCCAACTGGCGTAAATCAAGAAATTCAGGGTGTTGTGGGAAATTAAACTGGACTAAATCTTAGGTATCAGTAGGAGCCCTAGGTAATTAACAGAACAATTAGTTTTGCTAGATGGCCACACACAAGCAGCTCCTGATATAGGGAGCATTTCTGGCTATGATTTTCACAATGGCTGGGTTCATATATACATGACTGTGGTTACCAAATTCACCTACTTTCATCGCTAAGTGAAATCCTGTTTTGAACTGTAACATTAATTTTCATGCTAAGTTCAGTGGAAGAGAGGGCTGATAGCAGCAAAGTTGGCCCAAAGATATTGTCTACTTTTTGCTAATCTTTCTCTATCAAGGGATGTTTTTTTTTTTTTTT